TTTTCTCTTACTTAGTCTTTTCGGCACACTTCGACCCCATGGGGGTAACGAAATGCTGCCAAAATTTTTGAAAAATCAGATAACCCATTTCTCCCCACCTCCTCACACACTTATTTACTTATTTATTTATTTTTATTTCTTATTTATTTTCTGAAATTTCTTTTTATTTATTTATTTGCGGCATCCAATCTTTTATTTATTTTTTTAATTATTTAATTATTATTTATTTATTTATTTTCTTATTTATTTTTATTTCCTCTCGAAATATCAATGTTTATTCATTTTTCTCTCGTTCCCCCCCCCCTTTTGCTTGCTATTTTACTTTTTTGATTAGGTTACCGGTACCCTACCCTAGCCTTAAACGTCGGTTAGGGTTTTCTTAGGGTTCCTAAAAAAAAACCCCTACTTCCCCGTCCTCTTCGGGCACCCTGGACCCGAACCACCCCTCCCCCTTTGACGGCGCCCGTGCTAGCCTTGCTAGCGCCGTTCGCCGCTTTCTACCGCGGACTTCCCCCTACGCCCTCCGCTCACGCGGACCTCTTCTGGCCCCCTCCAGTCCGGTCCGTCATCTCCCCATGGACGACAGTGCGTCACACGCCGTCGACACGGCGATGACCACGGCATCGGGCTCCACACTTGTGCCGGCGGACCAGGGCCATCAGCCCCAGGGGGATCTACACAACCTCCTCACCTCCCTCCTCGCGCCCATCGAGGCGCAACTCGCGACCCTCGGGCCCCTACAGGCGCAGGTGGCGACCCTTGCCGCCGGCGTGCAGCAACTCCAGAACGCTGGTCGTCCTTCCTCTCCTCATCCTCTCTCTTCTCCTGGCTCTCAGTCCGGGTCCCCAGCTCTCCGACAGGGTGGCCACGACGGAGTTTCCTCCTCTGCCGCCCCCGACCCGGCCATTTTGGTGACCGTCCACGCCCCTAGCTCGACGACCGCCACGAGTCAGGCCCTTCCTCAGTCTACGGGCGCACCGTCCCAAATTCCGGTTACGACGGCCACGGGACCACAACCCGTTACCATGGTCTCAGCGTTTCCGGGTGCCCCGCTCCTCCCCCCCCTTCGCACGACCGCAGCGCCACCTGGCTCTCCCCCCTCTGGGATGCCCCGCGCCGCTTGTGCATCTACTTCCTCCACTCTTCCTCCTGCTACCCCTCGCACGACCTACGTTCGAGGTCTCGAGGACGAGATTGCCCAGCTCCGGGCCAACCTCGCCCTCTTACGCCTTCAACCACCCCCATCCTCACAGGTGGCCGCGTCTTCGGGCGCACCCCCTACCTCCTCTACCCTTCCTCCCATGCAGGCTCGCTTTCCACGCCCTGCACCCTATACAACTCCTTCCTACCTCCTTCCTACTCCCGCAGTTGCTGCGACCTCTTCTACCGCAGCACCTTCGCAGCCTGTCGCTATTGCCACCGCCGCCCCCTTATGCGACCCGGGCGCACAGTCAGCTGCGCCCCTTTCTCCAGGACCTGCGCTGACTTACTCAGCCGTGGCACAGGCCCCCGCTCCTCGATCCCCTCGCCGCCACTACGGTGGCGCACCACTCATCCGCTTGTCGGACATTGCCTTCTATGACGGTACAGGCATACGCGTGTCTCGGTGGCTGCAGTCGGCCACCCGCACACTCCAGCTTATGGGCGCCACACCCGAGACGTGGGTGGGTCACCTCTCAACGCGCCTGCGTGGCGGTCCTTTCGAGGCCTGGGAGGATTTCTATGCCTACT